TGGAAATATTTAAATACGACAAACACTAAAAAATACATACAAAAAAACGTATAGGTAGACAGACAGGTGTGTTATTTTGATAAAATTTCAATAGGAATTGAAAACATTATTGTTCACTTAAAGTAGACAAAATGAGAATGAATATATTTCAGAAAAAATGTATATGAAATATACATTTTCATGGTTTCTAAAAATTAGTAAGATATTAACTAAAAACATTTTTATATACAAAATTTTTATGCAATATGAAATTATGAGTACACGTACGATTTTGGTTGCAAGTACAAATATCTCAAATATTTGTAAGGAAAGTAATACTTTTTTATAATTCGCATCAAAATAGATGTTTTAACAAATAACATATTAAAATTTTAATATTTTATTTCAAACAGAACTATTTTAAAAAATTATAAAAATTTTGCTTGCACAAACTGGTTTAGGTATATGTAATTCATGTGCATTTCTTTCATATTTTTTTAAATTTGTTAGAATACACACATTTTTTATAATTTTACACTAAAGTAAATCTTTATAGGTATGTTGTGTTAAATTATCATATTTATTCAGAGCTTGAAACTAATATTAAAAAATTAAGTCATTTAAATTTAATACTTATTAAGAACTATCGAAATTTAGGAAATGAGTGCGATTAAGAGTATAAATATCTCAAATATTTGTTAAAAAACATACAAATTTTATAATTTTATATTAATATAGATATATGTAAGTATACTGTATTGAATTTTCATAATTGTAGGAAGAACGGAACTATATTAGTTAATTTAAACAAATTAAGAAAATAGTACTAGAATGTCTGGTGTAGGATTGTCATAGAATAAAAGTATAAATATTTCAAATATTTGTTATAAAGTATACTGATTTAATTATTTTATATTAAATTAGATATATTATAGTATACACATTTAAAATTTCAATAGTTTAAAATAAACGGAACTATTTTAATTAATTTAAGCTATTTAAGCAAATTTAGTACTAGATAAATTGGTACAAAATGACCGAATGACTAGATAAATCGGTACAAAAACGTCATTGAATAAAAGTATAAATATCTCAAATATTTGTTAGAAAGTATGCGAATTTTATAATTTTATATTAATATAGATATATGTAAGTATACTGTTGTGAAATTTCATATCTGTAAAAAGAACGAAACTATATTAATTAATTTAAACAACTTAAAAAAAATAGTTCTGGTGTCAGCAGATAAAAATATAAATATATCAAATGTTTGTTAGAAAGTAAACTAATTTTATTATTTTACATCAAAGTAGATATATTATTATATACACAATTAAAATTTCAATAGTGTGAAATAAACGGAACGGAACTATTTTAATTAATTTAAGCTATTTGTTTAAATTTAGTACTATGACTAGATAAATGGGTACAAAAGCGTCTTTGAATAAAAGTACAAATATCTCAAATATTTATTAGAAAGTATACTGATATTATTATTTTATACTAAAGTAGATATATTAGAGTATACAATGTTATAATTTTAATATATTAGCATTAACCACACTATTTTTAAAATATTTTAAATCATTGTAAAAATTTCAGTACCAGAATAGCTTATATTACGTACAAGAGTATCTTTGATTAAAAGTATGAATATCTCTAATATTTGTAAGAAAGTATACAAATTTCATTATTTAATATTAAATTAGACATATTATAGTATACACAATTAAAATTTCAATAGTTTAAAATAAACGGAACTATTTCAATTAATTTAAGCTATTTGAACAAATTTAGTACTATGACCAGATAAATCGGTACAAAAGCATCTTTGAATAAAAGTATAAATATCTCAAATATTTCTGAAAAAGTATACTGATTTTATTATTTTATACTAAAGTAGACATATTAGAGTATACAATGTTATAATTTCAATATTTTAGCATAAACCTTGCTATTTTTAAAAAAAATTAAACCATTGGCAAAACCTTAGTACTGGAATAGCTTATATTACGTACAAGAGTATCTTTGATTAAAAGTATGAATATCTCTAATATTTGTGAGAAAGTATACAAATTTCATTATTTAATATTAAATTAGACATATTATAGTACACACTATCAGAATTTCAATAGTTTAAAATAAACGGAACTATTTTAATTAATTTAAGCTATTTAAACATATTTAGTACTATGACTAGATAAATCGGTACAAAAGCATCTTTGAATAAAAGTATAAATATCTCAAATATTTGTGAAAAAGTATACTAATTTTATTATTTTATACTGAAGTAGACATATTAGAGTATACAATATTATAATTTCAATATTTTAGCATAAACTTTTCGATATCAAATTTATTTAAACAATTGAGGAAATTTTAATACTGTAGCTTATTAAGTACAAGAGTATATTTGATTAAAAGTATGAATATCTCAAATATTTGTGAGCAAGTATTACTATTTTATAATTTTATATTAAAGTATATACTTTGTAGTATAATTTATTAATATTTTAATATTCTAGAACAAACCAAACTATTTTAATAAATTATCCAAAATACAGCTCAATCGACTTATTTGTCTTTACGATACTCAGGTACCTTTTTCATATAATTATAAATATTTTAAAACTTTGTTCAAACTAATATGTTCTAATAGCTTGTATTAATGTAAATATATAAAAAAATGATTTATTAAAATTTAAACGTTTTATAGCAATCACAACTTAATTAAAAAAATTAGAACATTTTGCTCAAACTATAACCTCTATATAAGTACGCGTACATTTCTTATAAAATTATAAATATCTTAAATAATTGTGAGAAGGCATATAATTTTTAATATTGGATATTATTACAGACATATTGAAGTATAATTTGTGTATACGTATACATTATTCAAAAATCATTACTTTTACTGAAATAACTTTTCCTGATACTGAATTTTACAAAAACACTCTATATTTACAACATTTAAGACTCTATTATTTCTACAGGAGTCCGACTCACATAAAAATAAATTATGTCGATTCATAGATGGGGTTAAGGTTGAATCAACATATTTATTATATTTGTTCTTAATAAATTGAAATAATTACACGTTAAAATGTTAACCTTGTTTCCAAGATTCTCTTGTATTATATATAATTAGCATCTTAAACGAAGACTTATGACTAATTGTAAGTAAATTGTAACATTATTCATTATGTCAAATAATTGTATTTTTGAGTCCTCTTGGAGAAATCTGTGGGCTATATATTTAAATAAATAAATAAACATTTGTGTTAAATTGTATAATAAATGAAGAAATAAAATTGTATTATTATTCAGAAAATATTATTTTTGATGAAAAATTAGTTATACATAAAATTATACATATGAAATATTTAAGACGCTCTAATTCTAGTTGGTGTATTTAAAATATATGAAATCAAATTAATATAATTTATAATAAATGTTCAGCTCATTTTAACAAATTAAAATCTCAGCAATTTGTATTTTAATAAATCTATTTTTATTCCCAATATTAAAATAAATTTGGTTTCTCATAAATTTTCATGATATTTACAATTTTATAAGACAAGCACCCGGGTATCTTAGAAATAATTTGATGAAAGCTAAATGTTCAGATAATTTATTAAAATACTTCTGATTATTTTAAATCACAGTAATCATGATATATTCCACCTTAATATGTCTATAATAAAATGCAATATAAAAAATTTCATGTTTTTTCATAAATTTTTCAGATATTCACAACTTTGTAAGACAAGTACCTGGTTGTCTTGGATATAAATTATTTGATGAAAGCTAAATGTTTAGATAATTTATTAAAATACTTCTGATTATTTTAAATCACAGTAATCATGATATATTCAACCTTAATATGTCTATAATAAAATGCAATATGAAAAATTGCATGTTTTTTCACAAATTTTTAGGATATTTACACTTTTATAAGACAAGTACCAGGTTGTCTTGGATATAAATTATTTGATGTAAGGCAAAAGTTTAGATAATCAATTAAAATATATCCGACTTACTAAATATATGGTAATTGCAATATATTTCTCCTCAATATGTCTATAATAAAATGCAATTAATAAAATTGCATTTTTTTTTTACAAATTTTTAAGATATTTACACTTTTATAAGACAAGTACCAGAATGTCTTGGATATAAATTATTAGATGGAAGACAAAAGTTTAGATAATTAATTAAAATATCTTTGATCACCCAATAATGCGGTGATTGCAATATGTTTCTCCTTAATATGTATATAATGAAATGCAATATAAAGAACTGTATGCTTTTTCACAAATTTTTAAGTTATTTACGATTTTATAAGACAAGAACCAGGGCTTAGATATAATTTATTTGATAAGTTCTTTATATGTATATATATATATATATATATATATATATATATATTAATGTATTTTTTAAGACAAAAGACAAAAATTTATCCTTTTGTTTACAAATTTATATTGTTGTTTCATATTAACAGAAAGAACAACAATTACGTCAGCTCTAAATAGGTGTGGTTTATGAATTTGCCTCTGTTGTACAGGTATAACCTTTATGGTTATTATTGCAAAATTATATTATACACCTGTAAAATTATATATACATATATATATATATATATAATATATATATAAATACAATTGTATTGTTAATAATTCAAAACAGGTTCTTGTTTTTGTCAACAATATCCAACGCATCAACCGAACAAAATATTTTAGTAAAGGTAAAAACTACAGGTGAAGAAGTTCTCAGGTGAAAAATTAGATGCCACTACTATTTAAAATATTTTTTGAATAATTAATTGATAAATTTAAATTATTTTTAAGTACATTAAGACCTTTTAATTTTGAACTTTTTTAAGTACTTTATGACCTTGATATAATGGACCACTTTTTAAGTTAATGATGAAAATTTAGAAATTCAATTTAATTTGCCAAATTAAATATTGTTTTTATTTTATATCTAGTTTATAAAATAAATAACACACAATATTAAAAATCAAGCAAAGTTAATATTTATTAAAATTTATTAAAGCAGATGGCTCATTTTTTGCTCAATTTATAAATTATAATATATGTACACAACTAATACTATTACAATATTTTTTACCTTATTAAATTATTATTTTCTAATTACAAAAAAGTTATTAGTCCAATCTCTCATAGAGATATAACAATCATTAGCCTGTTTGGAATTAGCCTGGCAAACACTTTTTAACCAAAGTTTAAATTTTTCCTGATCCTTATCTATTGCCAAAAATTGTCCTAGCACTGAACTAGCCTAAAAATACACTTATAATTTATATAAATATAAATATATTTATATAAATTTATATTTAAATTAAATAAATATAAAATATTTCTTTATTATTTACCTTAAGATATCCAGCATTTGCCAATCTTTGGGCTAAAACTGAACCAATTCCTGGTAATTCTGTCACCAATTTGTTGCCCATTGGTTCACACACGAAATTTCTGTGTTTTTGGGATGTCGACATGGTAAAAAACTTTTTTTTAAATATTTTTTCACAAAAGTTGTTGTCTAAGGTTTGTTTTATGTATAATTGCAGAGGTTTTTGTAATTTATCAATACGCGATTCGATAAATTGTTATCAGAGGTACCAATAAGTTGTTCCTGGAATTGTGATAATATTATCTAATATGGTAGTCAGATATTTATTTTTAATAGTCATTTAAAGTATTAACTACATTTTTATTATTATTTATATCTTTTTTGCAGTATATATATATATATATACAGTAGAATCCGCTTAGTATGACATCGAAGGGACGCCGAAATCTCGTCATACTAACCGGTCGTCATTAAAAGCGTACTGAAAAAAAACTTTTTAATATGCAAATATGTTACATGTTTCAGTAATTCAAAAGAAAAGCTTATCCAAACGTTTTAATTAAAAATGAAAATGACACATTAAAATTTAATATAAAATAAAATTGACATAGGGTAGGGCGGGGCACAACGGTCCAATTTGACTTACGGTAATTATACTGTCTAAACTCAATGAACGATACATAACATACATAAAAGAAGCATCTATCGAACTATGTTCAGAAAAACTTACATACATACAGGGCCGGATTTAGAAATTTGGCGCCCCGGGGCACTGACAAAAATGCCGCCCCATCCCTGAAATTTTACAAACTTTCGAACTTTTTTTTAAAGCAATCGCGCTGCTTCAGCTGCGAGGGACAAAATATAGAAGCGCGTAAGCGCCGCGTCGCAGTCTATCGGATAAACAATGTTACAGAACTTATATAAATGTAAACAAAATTTATACTTATTATAATATCTTTAAAATATCTGATAATTTAATGTGCACATATCTTATGATCACTTTTGTCCGCCAAATGTTTCTTTTTCAAATTTTTTTTGGATCATCAAAACCGCTAAACCTCCCCTCACAAATTTAAGCAGTTACTTATTCTGTAAATTTTTTTGAATGATATTGGACGCTTTTTTTCTCAAAAACTGAATTATCATTTTTGGCATTTTGGCCCGTATCTTCAAAACAATTGGACATGCCTTAGCCCATAACTAATCAGCACCTTTCCATATCAATATGAATTGAATCATTTAAATCGGTTGATCCGTGTTCTCGAAATCGACTTGAATAATTAAAAAATATTAGATTTATGTATTGATGGGGAGACGTGCTGATTACCTTTTGGTACAGGCAATTACGAAAAATGGTAATTGAGTTTCGATATTTCTTCTCTTCTTTGCAAAAAGTTCATAATTTTCGAAAAATTTCAAAAGATATAAAATGCGTTTTAGAAGCCTTTTTTTTCATTTTTCAATAAAATTTAAGAGCTCTTTATAAATTTTCAGTACGGAATGTTTTAGTAATTTGTCTTAAGGCACTGCCATGAGTTTAAATTTTTTTTCGACGCTATAAGCTTGGAAGTGCACAAATATGTCATTTTAAGAAAGCTCGAGAACTGAAGAACATATTTTTCTTAAACTTTCAGCTTGTTTATGAATCTTTATATTAGCCAAATTGCCAAATTTGATAACTTATTAACCATTTTGATAATTTACATTAGGAGAGGGAGGCAAGGCAAAAAAAATAAATTTTAGTTATCGTTTATTTCAACCCAAATTTTTATGCCTCGTATTATGTTTTGTTCATTATATTTCTTGAAATAAAAAATGTTGTTAAAAAAAGTTGATTATATTGTATAGAATTTTTTTCTCACTATCCAAATTTTGCCGCCCCCCAAAATTTGCCGCCCTGGGCAGTAGCCCCGATTGCCCCTACTGTAAATCCAGCACTGCATACATACGTACATAATTCCTAATTATATAAATATTGTATTTTTTACTATTATTTAAACATTTGGTATCTGACCCATTTTACTTCATATACGGGGTAAAGTGGAACAGATGCAATTTCTTTTATTAAATTTTAAAGGCATTTCATGCTACATTATTGAACCAATGCAAAATATTAATTCTGTGGGTACTTTTGTTTCAAAGATAACACACAGTGTATTACATTGATCTGCTATTCGTCAGAAATATTCATCAGAAGAGCCGGAATAACAATTTATTCAATTAATCTCTTGTAAAATTGCTTTTTTTTTTAAACTTTACTATTTTATCTCTTACACCTTTGCCAAAGTAAAGGTTTTAATGTAAGTAATCAGTAATTTTTGATTGATTTCTTTACATAATTTTATTGTAAAAGCAGTCCCTGGTGCTATTGTGCACAAAATACATAGCAATTGCTTTCGTCGACTTGGCCACATCATGTAAAATCATGTCGGTCATTATAATTGGACATATTTTTTTGCAAGAATGGGTCATTATAAGCGACATGTCAATGTAAGCGAGGTCAATATATCCGACTAGACAGCTGTTTTTTAAAGAAATTTTATATGGAAACCAAATTCCTAGTGCGATTACGTCATATAAAGCGGTTGTCAATATATCCGGCGTCATACTAATCGGATTCTACTGTATATATATATATATTTATAAATATTTTAATGATTTTTGTGATCTAAATCTTAATCCACATATTGATAACTGAAGTACTAAAGTCTATGTTTCGACTAGTTTTATTAAAAATTTTGATATGCAAGTATATATAATATTTGATACTAAATTTTAGTCTATTCTTTCTAGTTTATATTAGTAAAACTTCATCAAAGTACCCCAAATAAATTTTTTAAGTTATTCGATAAAATCTAGAAAAATGTCTTAAATCCATATATTGTTGAAAATAATTAATAAAATGCTGAAGTCTGCGTTTCCACTGGTTTTATTCAAAATTTTGATATGCAGGTATATATATATAACAATTAATACTATTCGATACTAAATTTTATCTAGTTTGTATTGATGTAAATATATTTATTTGTTGATGTAAATAAAGTTTTCAAGTTATTCGACAAAATCTAGAGAAATCTGCTAAATTCACTTATTGGTAATTAATAAAATACTAATGTTTCTTCCGTTTTTATTCAAAAGTTCAACATGTACGTGTGTATGGTAATTTATACCAAATTTTAGTAAATTTATCTAGATTTTAGTAGTGTATTTTAGTAGAATACAGTTATTTTTAATTCGTAAAATACTCAAATCCGTGTTTCAAGCGGAATAAGAATTACTTAAAATTTAAATATCAAAGTATCTATAGTAATTTACACATTATATGAGTAAATTTTATCTAGTTTTAGTTAGTGTAAATAAATTACTATGTCCTGATTGAAATTATCAAGTTAAATAACAAAATTTAGAATGTCGTCTTACTATTTTGATAACTATTATGATGATTATACAAAACAACAGGCTATTTTATATTTTTTATTGTTTGGTCAAAATGTGGGCAATGGCTATAGAGACTACAAATTTTTAATTATAAAGTAATTAATCAATAAAATTATTGGTAAATCCTCTAAGGCCAGCTTGGGCCTCGTTGGCCTGTCTGTCATTTGCATAGCAAGTGCTCTGGAAATTTCTTTTGAATTGGCCCTCGTTGGTCAAATAGGAACCCAAAAGGTTACTTGCCTAAAAAAACAGAAATTTATAAACTACACATTGTATTTCATTATCTTTACTATAATGCCGAATACTAAAATTAATAAGTTTTCTTAGAAATTTTCTAGATGCTTACAATTTTATAAAAAGGTACCTTCAAGTCTAAGACAATAAAGTTTAGAAATTCATGATAATTTAAGTATTTGATTTAAATTGTTGTAATTTTAATATATTATATATCATTATGTCTACTATGATGCCAGATATTAAAATCGATGTGTTTTGTCAGAAATTTTCGAGATATTTACAATTTTATTCAAAAAGTACCTCCATGCTTGAGTATGATACTATGAACCAGTAAAGTTACAAAAATTCATAATAATTTGAATATTTGATTTACAATGCTGTAATTTTAATATATTATGTTGTATTATGTCTACTATGATGCCAAATATTAAAATCAGTAAGTTTTCTTAGAAATTTTCAAGATATTTACAATTTCATTCAAAAGGTACCTCCATATCTAAGTACGATACTATGAAGCAGTAAAGTTACAAAAATTCATAATAAATTGAATATTTGATTCACAATGTTGCAATTTTAATATAATATATTTTGTTATGTCTACTATGATGCCAAATACTAAAATCGATAAGCTTTCTTAGAAATTTTCAAGATATTTACAATTTCATTCAAAAGGTACTTCCATATCTAAGTACAATACTATAAAGCAGTAAAATTACAGAAATTCATAATAATTTGAATATTCAATTTACAATGTTTTAGTTTTAATATATTATATTTTATTATGTCTACTATAATGTCAAATACTAAAATCGATAATCTTTTTAAGAAATTTTCAAGATTTTTACAATTTTATTCAAAAAGTACCTCCATGCCTAAGTATGATACTATGGACCAGTACAGTTACAGAAAATCATAATAATTTGAATATTTGATTTACAATGCTGTAATTTTAATATATTATGTTGTATTATATCTACTATGATGCCAAATATTAGAATCAATGAATTTTCTTAGAAATTTTTGAGATATTTACAATTTTATTCAAAACGTACCTCCATGCCTAAGTATGATACTATGAACCAGTAAAGTTACAAAAATTCATAATAAATTGAATATTTGATTCACAATGTTGCAATTTTAATATATTATATTTTAATGTGTCTACTATAATGTCAAATACTAAAATCGATGAGTTATCTTGGAAATGTTTAAGATATTTAAAATTTTATATAAAAAAGTTCCTCCATGCCTAAATATGCATATTAAACTAATACGACGAACCTGTAAAGTTTAGAAATTCGTATTAAATTAAATATTCAATTTACAATGTTGTAATTTTAATATATTATATTTTATTATATCTACTATAATGTCAAATATTAAAATCATAGGGTTTTCTTGTGAATTTTAAAGTTATTTACAATTTTATAAAAAGTACTTCCAAGTCTAAGTGTGAATTTAAAACTGATACGACGAACCAGTAAAGTTTAGAAATTCATAATAATTTAAGTATTTGATTTATAATGTTGTAATTTTAATATATTATGTTGTATTATATCTACTATGATGCCAAATATTAAAATCGATAATCTTTTTGAGAAGTTTTCAAGATATTTACAATTTTATTCAAAAAGTTCCTCCATGCCTAAATATGCATATGAACCAGTAAAGTTTAGAAATTTGTAATAATTTGAATATTCAATTTACAATGTTGTAATTTAAATAAATTATATTCTATTTGATGCCTAATATTAAAATCAAAGGGTTTTCTTGGAAATTCTCAAGATTTTTACAATTTTATTCGAAAAGTACCTCCACGTCTAAGTATGATACTATGGACCAGTATAGTTACAGAAAATCATAATAATTTTAATATTTGATTAACAATGTTGCAATTTTTATATATCAAATTTTATTATGTCTATTATGGTGCCAAATGTTAAAATCTATGAGTTTTCTTAGAAATTATCAAGATAATTACAATTTCATAAAAAAAGTTCCTCCATGCCTAAATATGCATATTAAACTAATACGACGAACCAGTAAAGTTTAGAAATTCGTATTAAATATTCAATTTACAATGTTGTAATTTAAATATGTTATATTTTATTATATGTACTATATAGTATATATCATATGATGGCAAATAATAAAATTGATGAGTTTTTTTAGAAATTTTCAAGATATTTACAATTTTATTCAAAAAGCACTTCTATTCCTAAGTATGATACTATGAATCAGTAAAGTTACAGAAATTGATAATAATTTAAGTATTTGATTTACAATGTTGTAATTTAAATATATTATATTTCATTATGTCTACTATAATGTCAAATACTAAAATCGATAATCTTTCTTAGAAATTTTCAAAATAATTACAATTTTGTACAAAAATTTTGTACCTCGCCATGCCTAAATATGCATATTAAACTAATACGACGAACCAGTGAAGTTTAGAAATTCGTAATAAATTAAATATTCAACTTACAATGCTGTAATTTTAATATGTTATATTTTAATGTGTCTATTATAATGTCGAATACTAAAATCGATGAGTAATCTTGGAAATTTTTAAGATATTTACAATTTTATAAAAAAAGTTCCTCCAAGTCAAAATGTGCATTTTAAACCAGATGAACCTGTATTAGTAGAGTTTTAGAGTTTTATAATTAAACATTAATATTCAACCACTATTATATATTAAAATTAATTAAATAAAAATTCTATTTTTATTTATTTATGTCAATTATAATTTTTACCTTGGAATATCCGGCATCATTTAATCTTTGACCCAAAACTCTTCCGACTCCGGGGACTTCCGTGACCGGTTTGTTTCCCATCGGCTCCGAAACGAAATTCCGGTGTTTTTGGCTCGTCGACATTTTCTTAAAAACAAAATTAACGAAAAAAACATTAAATCAAACTGTTCTAGTCTGTTGATTCCAAATTCTAAAGTTTATATAGGCACGAGAAGACGACAATAAATTAATTTAAGATTTAGATAAGATCTTATCCAGTTGAATTTATTATTGTTAACTTCTGCGAAAAATATTTTTAAATTATGATATAAGTTTATTGTATTTGTTATCAATAGTGTTATCGATTTTTTGTAAATATTCCGGGAAAAAATAATATATACGCATTTTTTGTTTATCGCTTTTGTAACATCCATAGCCTTGTCGAAAAATTTGTCTATTTTTAATAAATGTTTTAAAATATACCAAGGTGCTGTAGGTACAAATGATGTTAGAAAATATTATGGACTATTAATTTCAAACAAATTCGCTGAATATTTGGTTCAAATTAAACAAACCGTTCAAAAGTTGTAAAAAAAATAATAACTCGTTTCTGACTCGTTTTAACAGTTTAAACATCATATTTAGACATGGAGGTACTTTTTTATAAAATTGTAAATATCTTAAAAATTTCTAAGAAAGCTCATCAATTTCATTATTTGGCATCATAGTAGATACATTAAAATATAATATATTAAAATTACAACAATGTAAATCAAATATTTAAATTATCATGAATTTCTAAATATTATTGGTTCATCATATTAGTTTAAAATGCATATTTTGACACGAAGGAATTTTTTTATGAAATTGTAAATATCTTCAAAATTTTCAAGAAAACTCGTGCATTTAGTATTTGAAATTATAGTACACACATTAAAATATCATATATTAAAATTACAATATTGTGAATCAAATACCTAAATTATTATGAATTTCTAAACTTTACTGGTTGGTCGTATTAGTTTAAAAAACATACTTAGACATGGAACTTTTTTTTATAAAATTGTAAATATCTTGAAAATTTCTAAGAAAGCTAATCAATTTTATTATTTGGCATCATAGTAAACATAATAAAATATAATATACTAAAATGACAACATTGTAAATCAAATACTTATATTATCACGAATTTCTAAACTTTATTGGTTCATCATATTAATTTAAAATGCATACTTAGACTTGGAGGTCCTTTTTTTTATAAAATTGTAAATATCTTTAAAATTTCCAAGAAAGCTCATCAATTTTAGTATACGACATCATAGTAGACACATTGAAATATAATGTATTAAAATTACAACAATGTAAATCAAATATTTAAATTATCATAAATTTCTAAAGTTTATTGGTTCGTCGTATTAGTTTAAAAAACACACTTAGACATGGAGGAACTTTTTTTATAAAATTGTAAATATCTTCAAAATTTCCGAGAAAACTCATCGATTTTAGTATTTAAAATCATAGTAGACATATTAAAGTATAATATATTAAAATTACAACATTATAAATCAAATTTTAATTATCATAAATTTCTAAATTTTATTGGTTCATCAAATTAGTTTAAAATGCATACTTAGACTTGAAGGTACTTTTTCTGTAAAATTGTAAATATCTTGAAAATTTTTGAGAAAACTCGTCAATTTTGATATTTGGAATTATAGTAGACGTGATAAAAAATAGTATATTAAAATTACAACATTGTAAATCAAATACTTAAATTATTATGAATTTCTAAACTTTACTGGTTCATCGTATCAATTAAATGCATACTTAGACATGGAGGTACTTTTTTTATAAAATTGTAAATATCTCAAAAATTCCAAAAAAACTCATCGATTTTAGTATTTGACATCATAGTAGACACATTGAAATATAATGTATTAAAATTACAAAATTCTAAATCAAATGCTCAAATTATTATGAATTTCTAAACTTTATTGGTTCATCGTATCAATTAAATGCATACTTTGACTTGGAGGTACTTTTTTCATAAAATTGTAAATATCTTGAAAATTTTTAGGAAAGCTCGATAATTTTATTATTTGTCCTTATAGTAGATCTTTTAAAATACAATATATTAAATTACTACATTGTAAATCCAAAACTCAAATTATTATGAATTTCTAAACTTTACATCGAATCAGTATTTTTGTTTATATCAACTCCTTGAACCAGCGTTAAAATCTCTAACTTTTATCCAAGATTCAAACCATTTAGTACATTTACTTTCTCCCCAGACGTCTCTGCTGTATTCTATATAAAAATTTCTTTCAATGTCCTCCAAATGCGACCACGTGTATGTAAATATATACAAAATCGAATTCAGTCGAATGTCGGCGCACGTTCGGTGCATACATGCTGCTCTTTTTTTATTTATTAAAAATATTTACAATTGTTGCAAAATTTTGCAAAAATTTGAAAAAATCGCTGAATGTATGTGTAATTTTGTGGTGGTATAAAATTTTGAAAAAGTGCTTAGGGTAATGGATAATTTCAGTGCTTGATTGGCGTAATTTTTTGGTTTTTAAGAATATTGATTAGTTTCGATATTTTTTAAATATATTTAAGTGTTGCAAATATTTGCAAGAAATTTGAAAAATTGCTGGATGTGTGTATAATTATATGGTGAAATAAAATTTTAATAAAGTGCTTTGGGTAATAAAATTTTAGCATAGTTTTATGAAACTATCCATCCTATTATTAACAATTATTTAAACAAAAAGTATGCATCAAATTTCAAATTTTACGGCAAATTTATAAAATAAAAAAAAAATACTAAATATATTTTCTTACGAATATAATATTAAGTATAGCCTTTTGTAATTGCATAAATTTTTGTAAAATTGGTCATAAAAATTTAACAAAAATTTTAAACATAAACTTTTACCTAGAATATATCTTGTTTAACTTTAATATCTTGCTTGGATAAAATTAAATCAAATAAAAATAAAAAGTACAACTTGACTGTTTTATTTTTTAAAGTGTGCTATAATATACTCTGTATATTTTTATTCATTTTTTTTGCTAAAAATTTTAGCCAAATTATGGATACAAATTAATTTTTGAAATTAAAAATAAAACCATAGATTTCAAGTCTATTTCTGTCATGTTTTATCAAAAAACTTTGGAAAAATTGACTGTAATGTGAATATTTGTGCTTCAGTGATTTTTTTAAAAAAATTAAATACCAAATTTATAATAAATTCATATAAAAAAGTGCCAGAAATTTTCAAAAATTCAAAGAACAGCTAAAAGTTTCATTACTTATACATACATAAAATTGATATAAACTTGATTTTTATACCAAAAACTGGATTTTATGGACTAATTCAAAATTTAAGGATTATTTTGTAATTATATTTATATCAAAATACACCCCTGGATTTATAGAGTATATTAAAAAAATATTATTAAACTAAAAGTGTCAAATAAATTATTTTAATAAAAATTCATGTGTCGACAAGAACTCAGTACCAAAACTAAAATCAAAGTTTAATAAATTTTTGTGTAAATTTTGAGAAATTTAAACACCATTTTATGCATAATTTAGTCAAGTATATCATAAAATTAAATTTTTGAGTTGTCCAGTCAAAATTTGTTTTAAAAATCGACAAAAATTAACAGCAAAAAAACCACAAAAATATTAAAGTTCCCATAGTAAAAAGGTTTTATTAGTAAATTGTTTGTAAAATTTTTGTGTAAAATTTTGTTAGAAAGTTTTGAAAAGTGTAAACGCCATTTTGCTCATAATTTATTTAAAAATATTATAAAACCAATTTTTATAAAATTGGGTTAAAATTTGGCCTAAATCGAAAAAAATACAGCAAAAACACAAACAACATATAAAGTTACCATAGTAAAAATAAAAAGTTTGTAAAAATTTTGTGTAAAATTTTGTTAGAAAGTTTAAAAAGTGTAAACGCCATTTTGTACATAATTTAGTATAGAATATTATAAAACCAAAATTTATAAGTTTGGGTCAAAATTTGGCTCTAAAATCGTAAAAAATGCAGCAAAAACACCAAAATATAAATTGAAATAATAAAGTTTTATAAGTAAATTGTGTGCAAAAGTGAAAAACCGGGACGCCATTTTGTAACAAATCTCAAATAAAGCCAAAATTCCAATTTTCGAAAATATAGAATAACCAAAAAATAGAAAAACCGGGACGCCATTTTGTAACAAATTACAAATAAAGCCAAAATTCCAATTTTCAAGTTTTTAACACAAAAATTGTTTAAAAAACCTAAAAGTGCTTTAAAACTTGAGTGCAAAAATTTGAAATTGTGCAAAATTTTGTGTGAAACTTGCAAAAACCTTAAACGCCATTTTGTGTACAATATAAAAACACATGAAAATCCAAAATTTCAACTTTGTACCTCAACGCATTTTGGAGTACCATTGAAAACCCCAAAGTGGCCCCTACCCAAAATACCAAACCACCAGACTTAAAATCAATTTTAAACTTTAGTCAATTACAAAGAGTCTTTTTTATTAATGTTACTGCCTTAAACTGACCATAATGGTGGAAGGACCCCAGGACGAGAGTCCTCCATGGACAAAATTGTTAGAAGTGACCCCTGCAGCCCCTATAATCGTGAAAGTTGAAGAACCGCAGGATCCTCCGGCAACAAATGGACAGCCCCCGGGTGCCCCTAGAAGACAAAGTCTTTTAGGGTCTTTTCATAGACAATTGAGGTTGTCTTTTAAGGGCGACTCTTCTGGAAATGGAGGGGGGCCCTTTTTAGGTAATTGTAATAATAGATTTATGGTACAAAAGATATAAATTTAATATAAATTTTTATTATTATTAAACCTGAATAGTCGATAAATTGATTTTTTTTCCCACAACAATGTGTTTGGTGACTTTGATACGGGGTCACCAATAAGATAACAATTGGACAAAGAAACTTTAACATGAAGAGATAAAGCAAAATTGTCTCTCGGGTCAGAGTATCATATAGGGGCTTATCTGTCGTGTCGTGTTACAGAAAGAATATACGGAATATTATGATGGGAATTTAATATGATGTTCTTTAATATGTCTTTTGTTGGGTTTGATGAAAAAAATTTAGGGTTTTATGTGGGTTTTTGCGTTATTAACGGTTTTTGACAGGGGTGTCCTGAGATAAGATAGAAGATGTAATCATGGGGTTGTGTATTTTTTATAAATATTTGTACTCAGTTTAGATTTATAAAATTTAAGTATGTTATACTATGGTATGTCTACTAGGATAATCAATAAAAAAATAGTGAGCTTTCAAACAAATTTTTGTGAAATTTGCCAAAGCGTCAAAGGGTCTTTATAATGCACCAGTTCATACAAGTCATTGCAGTACAAATGCAATTTGTGGACTCAATATTTTTTATAAATACTAATACTCGGTTTAAGTTCATGAAATTCTACTATGTTATTCTATAGTATGTTTACTATGTTGTACAATAAAAAAAATTATGAGCTTTCAAACAATTTTTTGGGATGTTAACAATTTTACTCCGGAGTGTTCTTAAAACTTTTTTTCAAAACATTTGTATTAGAAAGGAGACGCAATGCAGGTTTTTAATTTTTTTTAAATATCTCTACTCAATTTCAATATATGAAATTTTAGTATGTTATTCTACAGTATATCTACTATGATTCTGATTTAAAAAATTGGTAGAGTTTGAAGCAATTGTTTGAGATATTAACGATTTTAACAAAGAGTGTTCTTTGAAAGATTTCTCTGAACAACTTTTACTAGTAGGAAGTTCAATAGATGCTATTTTTGAGTTTGTCATCTTTTATAAATATTTCTACTTGGTTGAGGTTTATGAAATTTTAGTATGTTATACTTTAATGTATCTACTATGATGTCTAATAGAGAAATTAGTAAGCTTTCAAACAAATTTTTGAGATATTTACGATTTTGCCCAAAAGCGTCCGTTACAAATTTACTCTGAATTTGGTTAGGAGTGGCTGTTTCTGTGTTTTATATTTTTTATAAATATTTATACTCGGTTGAGGTTTATGAAATTTAAGTATGTTATACTTTAATATAACTCCTATAATGTCTGGTAGAAAAATTATTAAGCATTCAAACAAATTTTTGAGATATTTACGATTTCACCTAAAAACGCCCTTCAAAATTTACTCTGAACGCAGCCTGCCTTAGCAGATTGGTTGGAGTGGCTATTTTTGTATTTTATTTTTTTTATAAATATCAATACTTGGTTGAGGTTTATGAAATTTTAGTATATTATACTTTAATGTATGTACTATGATATCTAATAGAAATATTAATCATTTTTGAAACAAATTTTTGAGATATTGACACTTTTTCCTGAAAGCGTCCTCAGGAATAATTTTATAAACGCAGCCATATACTGAAAGCCAATATTTAGGTTTAATATTTTTTTATAAATACTTACACTCGGTTTAAGTTTATGAAATTTCAGTATGTTATACCATAATATATCTATGATAATGTTCAGTAAAAAAATTAGTGATGTTTGATGCAATTTTTTGAGATATTAACGTTTTTAGTCGACAAGTACTTTACAATATTTTTCAGTGGAAAGAAGATAGTAAGCAATTATTGCGTTTTATATTTTTTATAAATATTTATATTCGGTTTAAGTTTATGAAAGTGTAGTGTCTTATACTATAATATGTCTACTATTATTCTTAATATAAAAATTAGCATGGTCTCGAGCAATTTTTTTAGATATTCACGTTTTTTTATGAAATCGTCCTCAGGAATAATTTTATAAATGCAGCCATATACTGGAAGGCAAATATTTAGGTTTAATATTTTTTATAAATAAAATAAATCAATAAACAAAATAAAATTACTCACTAAATTTTCTTAATTATTTTTTACCAAGTTTATAAATTTTTGTATATTATACAATAATATGTCCATGATAATGTTCAGTAAAAAAATAGTATAGTTTGAAGCAATTTTTTGAGATGTTAACGATTTTAATCGTAAACGTCCTTTAAAAATTCACTCTGCCATAGTAAACAGGTTAGGAGAAGCTAATTTGTGTTTTATATTTTTTATAATTATTTATACTCGGTTTAAGTTTATGATATTGTAGTACGTTATACTATGACATGTCTGCTATGATACCGATAAAAAAATTGTGAGGTTTCAAGCAATTTTTTGAGATATTGACGATTTTCCCTGAAAGCGTCTTCAGGAATAATTTATAAACGCAGCCATATACTGGAAAGCCAATATTTAGGTTTAATATTTTTCATAAATAAAATAAATTAATTAACAAAAATAAATATTACCCACTAAATTTTCTTAATTTTTTACCAAGGTTTCCAAAACCTGTCTAATCTAATAAAACAATACATTGTGTTATATTATTTATTCAATCGACTAGATTTTGACCTCAGGAGGCCATTTAATAGAAAGTTTCATGAATTTCAAGTTTGTTTATTAGAAACAGATTGATCGAATTAGAATTACAAATATCGAAAATTAATTATACCAAGGGCCCCCGAATACAAATTTATGGTGAAAGATTTTTTATTGCACTAATTTAGTACAAATGATTTGGTTCATTTTCTAAAAGCATAAGGTAATAAAAAGATTTTAAATAAATACTTTAGATAAAAACTTTTTAAGTGGTTTTTGTGACACAAATTACTGGTGGAGAGATAAGAAATGTGATTTGTGAAATAAACAAATTAAATACATAAACTAGGTGTGAGTGGCATATTGCCTTAGTGCAAATTGCAAGATATATATATATAAGTATATATAAGTATATATGTATATATCATGTACTTATATATAAGTAATGGACTAAGCGTTAAATTGTTGAGTCATTAAGATTAGTTTCTGTAAATAGTTTTTAGAAAAACGTCACTCATCGATACTTAAAAACATAAATAGTTTTGAATTAACTAACAATTAACATCTTACCTCGTATCAAATATTTGACCTTTACAATTACTTTGAACGTTTACTTTTTGATAACACATAAAACTAAATATTATAAACATATTGTTACGGTTTATTTTATTAATTAAACGTAAATTAACATATCCACACAATCATCACATTTAAAATTATTGTAAACGAAACGTCAAATCAAATAAAAAATGGCGGACATTAACACCAACTTCACAAATATAAGTTTTAAATATTACCGATCACTTTAAAAATATTAATATTTTTAATTAGTTATATTTAGATTGTTTACACATATGTTCTTATATTAATTATTTATATTATATTAATATAATATGAATATATAAAAAAATTGATTAACGTTTGCTTGCAAAAATATGCAGAATGTTGGTACCCCTGCAAACACAACTGTGAAGAATGCGTTAAACCGAATTGACATTAGAATCAAAATGTCGGATGTGATTAAATTGTCGCAGTTAAATTTAATATTTAATATTTAATAATAATGATAATATGTTTGTGGACCTATATATTTTTGTCTTATTGTTATAATTATTAATTCATAGTATTGTATTTAATATTTTTGTTGTGAATATAAACACAAATACGGCTATTGCATTGCAAAGTGAGTGTAGTTTTGAAGAATTGTTTCGGTGTCTAAGCTAAAGGTAGGAATTTTATAAAATTTACTTTAAATTCATTAATTTAATAGCTTTATTGACTTAAAACATTGTGCCAGTTAGAAACTAAGTATAAGAATTATGTTGTAAAAGGTTCTGATTGGTATATATATATATATGTATTCGACTTAATTGCTAATAATTGATATTTAGTAACACCTGAATTTGGGAATAATTTTAAAATTTTGACATGATTCAATATTCTAAACTTTCATGTTTCTATTAAATTAAACTTCTTTTTGTCGGCCTATAATATTTCAGTTAGTATCAACCATGAAATATATCGTTCAACAAAGTTTCATCATTTTTTTTTCTTTCAACACTTTCAACAATTAATTACAAAAAAATGGCGCTACCAATCTCGAGCAAAAACTAGCTAGAGCGATTCCCAACCGATATCTTTCAAAGAATTTTTTGAATCTACTTAAGTTTTGGCTAAAACTAAATAAATCTAATCATCAAGGTCTATAACTTTGTGTTTATCTATATAGAACTCAATGTAATAAGAAGTTTAAAGTAGAGGGAAAAAGATGTATAACCAGCTATAACCTTGATTCTCATGACCCTGCTATCGGAAGATAAACTTTAATCTTTGAAAATCTATAATAAAAGTATTTTCTTCTGTTGGTAGATTTTTAGCATTAGTTAAAAATGTAATTGTTTTATAAAATACATTTAAAATTGAAATAAGACATTAAACCTGTTCCAAGTTACCCCGCCAGCATTCAAACAACACATCCTTATGCACTTAAAGTATTAATATTAGATTCTCTAGAAATTGATTAGCATATACCCTACTTAGCAAAA